AAAAAAAGCATGCGTTGTAATTGGTAAAGACGTCTACCAAGAAGAGGATAGATCTGGCTTGATGGAAATATGTCTGAATCGTAATATAACATATATTATATGAATACATAATCGACAATTATCCACTAATCAAACTAGTCAATTATTTTTTTCAGTCATATATCACTGAATTGTTTTAGTAGACTTTTTTTCACTAATATTCATTGCTTGTCAGATATTATAAAGAGTGTGAAAAAGAAACCCATTAAATAAATATTACATGTTTTTCTTTTAGGTGTCATTATTCTATAAAAATTTATTTATTTTGATTGTTTAAAAGAAAAAAAACGGTTCTTTATTTAGATAGAAATCAACGATAAAATATACCTTTCACCGTTCAAATAAGCTTCGTACTCTTTTTAAGTTCGAACCATGCTTATGAATTCGTGAAACACTTGATCGTATCAATTCTCCACTTCGTCTTTCGAAAATCCAAAACTGATGTCAAATTTTGCAACCGAGTATTGGGAACTTCTGTAAATTATCTTGGTTCTGAAGGTATTCATTAAAATATATATTTATATTTTATGTCTTATTTCATCTGCAAAACACCCAAACAATCATTTATATATCGGAAATTAGTGTTTTACTTTTGTTTTTGAAATCTTTTTAAATTTCATTTTCTTATTCTTCCAACTTTTATTGATACATATTGTCAGGTTGACCATGTACATGTAATAGTTGTTGTTTTGTTAAAGTTTAGATAATATATCTTTCATTCAATAAAGGACGTCCATTTTTTTCTGTATCAACAGACATATTATAAACATAGACTTCATCTCATGCGTTTCGAGGAGATACAAAACGTCAAATACGAAACTATATTTTTGTACAAGTATACTTCTAAACACTAAAAAAAATAAAATCCTCACATTCATTTCTCAGTTGAACGTTACAATGATTATTCTTTTTAAGAGAAAGTCAAATCGATAATTTCAAAAATTCACGAATATATATATGTATCAGAATTTTAGAAGAAATCTCATGAAATAAGTCTACCTTCTAAGAATGCACTTTTTCAAAAGATATCTAAAAATACTGTCATACTATCACTCATTATTTTCAAGCGTCTTTTATCCTAAAAGATTATGCCATAATCCTTGAAACGTTTGTAAAAGCATAGAGTACAATATTCTGTATCTATTAATACCATATTTGATGAATAAAGACTTACACAAATCTATATATTTATATAGAAAATCGGAAACTGCTCACAGACGATTCAATTAGTGTTCATCTTTTTAAGTTTTCGTGGACAAAAAAATTTATCTAATGAGTTTGTGGAAATAGATATTTTATTAAATACAATTATAAAAGTATTTAAGAAGAATAATTTTTTGTCTTTCGTTTTTTTTCTAAGAAAATGATCATCACCATTCTCCGAGTTTCTGCCTGTCCATAAAAATGAACAAGATATTGAAATTGTAGTATCACCGCTGCGACTAACATGTTTTCGAAGCATACTTTTTATGAATCTATTTCAATTACACATCGATATATACCGATTTTTCGTAAATTAAATGATAAATCTGAGTCATATTCAGAGTTTGCGTATTATTAGTCAATTGTGATGTTGGAATGCCAGGTAATATCAACTGTTTTATCTTTTTAGATTTAATTATGGATTCTGATAACTGTAAATTAACTGCTGTTCTGAAGGATGTAACTAAAGATATTCAATCATCTAATATATGTCAAGTGTGTGGGGAAAAGCCCACAATTATGTATTTGGGTGTTCATTGTTGTTGCTCGTGTAAAATGTTCTTTCGTCGAAATGCAGATTTTGATCTGGTAAATCGATATTATTTTTGAAATCTATTTCAGCAATCAATTTTTATGCTGTATAGGATACTCATCAATGTGTATTTACTGGAAACTGTGATATAACTATGAATAGTCGAGGAGCATGTCGATATTGTCGATTGAAAAAATGTTTTTCTATTGGCTTACAAAAAGACTTGCTTCGTAGTTCACATACTGTTCAATGTCATGATAAAACGAAGAAAAAACATAAAATTTCAACGAATGAAGCAACAGTTTCTCTTTCAGTTGTTAATACACCACTTGATTTGCTCAATAATGATCGATCATTATTATCTACCAATCAATGGTCTCTCTTGTCGAATGTTACTCATGCTTACGATGATCAATCTCCTTTATTAACTATACGCTATACGATGGCATCTCAGTTGAATTATCCGGCAAAACTACAATGTAAAATGGCAACGGATTATTTCAAGCGTATTGCTAGTTCATTATATCTTAGTGCTGGTCCATTTATCAAAACAATACCTGAATTTGTGCACATGTCAACCAGTGATCAAGGTATTCTCGTCGAACGAAATATTCGTAGTATGAGTGGCTTTGGTGGTATACTTGTCTTGCGTGAAGCTGATCTTTGCCAAAATCCTTTCTATCATAATGCCTCTGTTACTACTTATGGACATGAACTTACCCATCAAGCGATGAAAATTGTTCATAATGCAGATATTGATGGAACATTAATCAAACTCATGATACCTATTTTGGCTTTGTCAACGTGTTCTGATATTATTGATCCAGACAATCATGACGGTTCCGGTGAGTATAAATAATAATTGAGATATTTGGAGTATTTATATAAATTTTGGTTGATAGTATGTTTATAGTATTTTTCTTCATCTAGTATTAATTTGCTGCTTCATGTAGATGGGTTATTCACATCTATCTACTAGAAGCTAAAACAATATTATAAAATATGGAAATCTGATGCATCTTCAAATCAGAAAATCGTTCATATAAAAGAATTGAATTCTTTAAGAAAAAAAATGAGATTTTTTTCTATAGTTTCTTAAGATAAAAGGCGACAGAGAATTATTAAAGTGGAATTAGTGACTTTTTTACGAAACATATCCAGTTATATTTTGTTGTATCACATACTTTTATATTTAGGGAGTACCACAACGCCTGGAGGAACTCGTCTTTTTTCAAATACTTTACATCTTCTGATAGCTCAAAATATCTACGTTGAAATGATGTTTAAATATATGTTATATCGATATGGTTATAAAGAGTCAGCTTTAAGATTTGCAAGTCTTATTAAGAGTTGTCTCGATCAAAATCTAATGGTATCAGATGGTGATGATCTTCGGCAACATGATGAAATGGTACAAACAATTACCGATGAAACTGAACGATCGTTAGTAATGGATGATGAAAACAACAAATGATATTTACAATAATTCTATATTCTCGTGAAAAAAAACAAATCACATTTTTGTACGAATGAGTTCTTCATATTCAGCATAGTATGTTGTTATGATTTGGAAATCTTTTCTATTGTCCTTTGTTTTAATTTTTTTTGTTCATTGCTCATCATTTGATCAAAGACTATCACTGTTATTAAATATTGTGTGATTTCGTTGTACATATCTAACCGTTCTC